TTTTTGTCGTGCACATGTCTTCGTGCGGTGCATGCATGGGGCGAATGGCGTTCATTCATTTTGTGCGACAATCATGTTTGGCTGCACATGTTTGACTTCACATGTTTGCTTCTGCTCCTGTGCTGAGCATGTCTGGGTTCGCTCGTAGTCACAATCCCACGAGCTGCTGGCATTCAAGCCAAAACACAGTGAAGTAGTGGCTAAGTAGTTATGAATGAGGGCAGATTCATAGAGGTACCAACGTGACCTCACCCCACACAAGCTGGACAAAGCACGGGAGCGGAGAGCACATTTTATAATGAAAATGGTCTTGGCCACAAGTTCCATCCCCGACCCCTGCAAGATGTCTACGTTTCGCTCATGCCAAGACACGTCAGTGCAACTTAGCGATGGCACATCCAAGCTGTGATGTGTTCTAGCTTTCCTCTTGACTTTTCACATCACTTCCATCACTTCTTTGCAGCAAGCTGACTCCGGAGGTGTGCGCTATTTGGGTCTCGGTGCTTTGAACAAGGCGGAGTTCTTGAACGGAGGAGGCCGGGACTTGCTTGAGAAGCTACCGGCCAGGCGCATGCGCATCAGCCATGGAGATCACCTGACGGCCGCTGCGGTGGTGGAGACGGTGATGCAGCTGAGCTATGAGAACTCCAAGATCTTCATGACTGGTGCGACCAGCAAGACGGGCAGGGCTGTGGTGCTTGGCCTTCTGCGCAGAGGCGTGCAGGTGCTTTGCCACAGCACCAGCCTCGAACGACGCCAAGACTTGGAGAGGCATGGCATCCGAACGACCTCCGAGCTGCGGGACGGTGAGAGCTGTGAGCTTTGGATCGTGGGGAAGTATGATGTGGCGGTGAACCAATTCATGCCTCCAGGTGCAACAGCGTGTGTCTTCGCCGTGCCCAACCCAGTTTCTCGCACAGACATCCATGTTTGTGAGGGTGCCACACTTCATTTGGACAAGAAGCGCCTTGAAGGGAGGCGCGCCAACCTGAAGCTCGCAGCGCATGAGATCTATGCCTGCAATGCTGCGGCCCTTGTCTTTGCATCCAAGCAAGGAGACGAGGACGAGGTGGATGCCATTGACCCTACCACCTTGGACACCTATTTCCAGGAAGCTAAAGCCATGGGGTTCAGCCTTCCCAAGCCTCGCGCGTAGACTCCAAGCCTTCCTTATCTTCCAATCTGTCGAGCTTCAGCTTGATTCGGCTTATTTTCCATCGGATAGCCGAGCCGCTCTGCACAGATG